TATATATATATATGTATATATACAAAGGTAGATACATGTGCATATGTCATGTGTAAACTACTGTATGGAAGGTATGTACAATATACTTTACATACCTATACGTGCATATAGTACATACATACATACCGTACATACCATACAATACAGCACAATACAATACATTACAATACATTACAATACATTACACTACATTACAATACATTACAATACATTACAATACATTACAATACATTACAATACATTACATTACATTACATTACATTACATTACATTACATTACATTACATTACATTACATTACATTACATTACATACAAGAAACACTCAAAGGATACAGAAGACCTCGTGAGCAAGATCGAAGTGAGCTCAGCTCATGCCCAACTAGAGCAAGCAGAATCCCTATGATCCTCTGACCCGCACTCGAAAGCTTCGTGGAAGAACGAGCTCACGAATCAGGCCCCCGACGTACGGTGCTGTAGCTCAAAGGCTTCCCAAGCCCCAAAACCCAAAACTCCTTCAAAGGGTTCCATGGTGGTTTTCGGGTTCCATACGGGTTGAGATGGAGGGTCTTGGGGCTGGAGTCCTAAAGCCCTGAAACAGCCGAAAACCCGATAAAAACACGGCCGAGGCCGCGACTCGCTGTGGAGCTGGCAGAATTCTTCCAGCTACCTCGGCAAAAAGCCGAACAGGGAGGGTCCAATTAAGGGCTTGGGGTTTAGGGTTTAGGGTTTAGGGTTTAGGGCTTGGGGTTTAGCGTCCAGTGTGTGGCTTGGGTTTAAAGGCTTGCGAGTTTAGCGGTTGCAGGCTGTCGAACAGAGTAAACCATTCTTCCCCACCGTTGTCATCAGTTGCAGGGCCACATGAGCCAACCTGAAATACCTACTTCAGCGCCGGAAAACCCTCAACAAGCCTACACCCCTACAGGACCCTTGCAGGGATCCCTTAAAGGAAGCCTCAAAAGGATCTTAGGAAGCCTTACTTAAAGGATCATGGGACTTAGTAAGTAGGGCCATAACTAAGGCAACTACAATTATAACCCCAATTAGGGGACTTATAACCATACTTACTAAGTCCCATGATCCTCCAAGTACTCCCCCCCTAAACCCTAAACCCTAAACCCGAAACCCTAAACCCTAAACCCTAAACCCCAAATCCTAAACCCTAAACCCGAAACCCTAAACCCTAAACCCTGTAAGGGAAGCCTTGAAGCCTTGAAGGCTATCCGAGCTCCTGTCTGAGCACCTCCGAGGTCTTCGAGGAAAGGCCTTCAGGCCGCTTGGGGTCTTTTTGGGGTGTTTTTGTGTGGTTTTTGGGTTTTTTTTGTTTGGGTTTTGGGGTGGTTTTGGGTTTGGGGATTTGGGGTGCTTTTGTTTGGGTTTTGGGGTGTTTTTTGCTTGGGTTTTGGAGTGGTTTTGGGTCGGTTTTGGGGTGGTTTTGGGTTTGGGGATTTGGGGTTTGAGGGTTTTGGGATTTGGGGTTTTGGGTTTGGGGTTTTGGGTGTTCGGGGTTTAGGGGTTCAAGGTTTCGGGTTTGGGGTTTAGGGTTGAGGTTGAGGGGTGAGGTGTTTCAGGGTTTAGGGGTTCTAGGCTTTAGGCTTCAAGTTCATTTCGGGTTTAGGCCATCTTTTGCGGTGGCCTTGTAAGATTATCTTATAGGGAACCATACATGAAATTGCTCTTTGTCGAAATTACGCAGACTCCTGCCTTCGTGTCAGGGGTTCAGGGTGAAAGCCTGTTGGCTGGGGCCGGTCAGCAGATATGGGAGTTTCAGAAAATTAGGGTACCTTATTTTGGGGTCCTTATAATAGGGATCCTAGTATTTAGGGTACTATATTAGGGTCCCCTATTTTCGGAAACCCCCATATGACGAAGGCTGGGCAGCAGAGGCCGCCGAGCTGAAATTGCGGAACTGATCCGTCCGAGCCGACAAGACTTCTTGGAAAACCGTGGGGTTTCGGGTTTCGGGTTTAGGGTTTAGGGCTTAGGGCTTAGGGCTTAGGGTTTAGGGTTTAGGGCTTTGGAGTCGCAAGCTCTTACGGCACCCTGCTCAAGAGACAAATCTGCCAACAACAAAACACCCCTGTGGCCATTCCAACAGCCCCGATTATGATCAGCTCATACTACATCAGGTCCTCTTCCTTCCGGCCCTGTTGCAAAGCGGGCAAAACCTCCCAGAACACCCGTCTTCGCACGACCCATAGTTCGCTAGCCCCCTTAACCCCAACCCCTACAGGCCCTACACCCTATACCCCTAAACCTAAACCCTCAAACCCTAAAACCCAAAACCCGAAACCCTACAATCCTAAAACCCGAAACCCTGAAGCCTTTAAACCCCAAACCCCCCTAAAACCAAACCCCAAAAATCCCAGCATTTCCGGACTCTGCAAGGTCTGAGTTGCTGTCAAGGAACTTGATTTAAGTTACCCTAAACGGGATATATGATATAGACTCAATATTAAGGGTTTCCCTAGTATCCTAACTTAACGGTAAGTTCCTTAAACCCTAAACCTTAAACTTATCCAAGCCTCTCAACCAAAAACCCTTATAGAGCCCTTACAGCACCCTTTTATGGTAACTTAACGTAACTGTCAGTTCCTTGAACCCTCAACCCTAAACCCAAAACTTAGTTTAAGCTCCTCAACCTTATAGAACCCTTATGGAACCCTTCTATGGCAACTTAACTGTAAGTTCCTTAAACCCTAAACCCCTAAACCCTAAACCCCAGTACCCAGAAGTCTGAGCTCCAAGCTTTTCATTCGGCCGCCGAAATCCTCGAGCCTTTCGGAGCCCGCGGCCTGGGTTGCTTCAGGCTTGTTTTTTTGGTATTTAAGTCCTGTTTTTTATGGGGGCTAGGTTTCGGGGTTTAGATTCTTTGTCTTTTTGGGGGGATTAGCTTTTGGGGTTTGAGCCCCTTTTGCGACATCTGCCGCTTTTTATTGGCCTTTTTGGGATTTCGAGTTTAGGGTTCCGGGGTTCGAGAGCCCGCAACACACCTTCATTGATTGAAGGGAAGAGACCCCTACATTGGGCTTGAAATTATGGTTCAAGGCCCCTTTAAGGGAGACCCCTCAATTCAGGAAGAGACCTTCAACCAGGATAACAAACATCTGGAGGTTCTCTGGATTTGATGAAGGCTTTTGCAGTAAGGGCAAAAGCCTCAAAGGATAAGATGAAGCCCGATGACTTAAGGCATAGCTCTTGATTAAGGGCTATAAGGCTCTGCGGAGAGGTTTGCGGAGGGTTTTTCTTCTGGCGGAGGGAGGCGGTTTGGGTTTAGGGTTTCCGGTTTAGGATTTCCGGTTAAGGGTTTCAGGCTCATTTGACTCCTTTGAAACTTGGGGTTCAAAGGAAGGGGGCCCCTTCATATCCAGACGGTGCCCCCTGAGCCTGCGCCCTAAAGCCTAAACCCTGAACCCTAAACCCGAAACCCTAAACTCTAAACCCTAAACCCTAAACCCTAAACCCGAAACCCAAAACTCTAAACCCAAAACCCCAAATCCTCAACAACAAGTCCCTAAACTCTATAAACCCTAAACCCTAAACCCAAAACCCTAAACCCTAAACCCTAAACCTCCGAGTAGGCGATGGTGGCTTCCTCGGCCTCGAAAGAGCCAGCCGGAGCCCCTCGGATGAATGTCGCCGTATTCGGTTCTGAGCGGTTTAGGGTTTAGGGTTTAGGGTTTAGGGTTTAGGTTTCCCTCCACGGGTTCCTTTAAAGGAGCCCTGAAAGGGGGATTCAAAGGAACCGTTCAAGTTATCTTATCCTTCAAGGCTTCATCGGTTCCCGAAAGTCGGGTAAACCGGATTTGTTGAAAGCCCCCAACACAAAAAGAAGGCTCGCAGAACCTGCAAAGAAGCCTTTAAATCCCCTGCCCTAAACCCTGAGCCTTAAATCTTAATCCCCAGCCCTAAATCCTAACCCTAGCCCCTCAACCCTAAACCCCAAACCCAAGCCCCTGAAACCTAAATCCCCTAAACCCTAAACCCTAAAGCCCTTAAACCTAAATCCCCTAAACATCCCGTCGAGTTTCCCACAGACTCCAATACCCCTTAATTAAGGAATATACCTTAAATCATATTAGGGATCCTACTATAATTTAAGGTATATTCCTTAATTAAGGGATTCCGAGGCACGGAGCACCTTCTCATGGAGCGCATCGCCGCTTTGGAGGCTCAGGTCCCCCTGTCTTTCTGGGCTTCAGCGGTTCCCTTTTAAGGACGGTGCTTTTTACGGTTCCCTTAAAGGGTCTAGGTTTAGGGTTTAGGGTTTTCTTTCGAGGTTCCCTTAAAGGGTCTAGGTCGAGGTTTAGGGTTTAGGGTTTAGGGTTTTCTTTTGCGGTTCCCTTAAAGGGTTTAGGGTTTAGGGTCTATGGGGTTCCTTTTAAGGGTCCCTTAAAGGGTTCTGCAAGGGTTCCTGAAAAGGTGGCCTTAAAGGGTTCCACAAGGGCTCCTTGAAGGTTTCCCTCGAGGGTTTAGGGTTTAGGGGTTCAGGGGTTTAGGGTTTAGGCTTCAGGGTTGAGGGTTTAGGGGTTCGGGGTTTAGGGTTTAGGGTTTAGGCTTCAGGGTTAGGGGTTTA